AGCTTAAATGGTACGTTTTGTGGAGGGTGGACTCATAACGAATATATTACACAGTGGTCAGTGAAATAATGCTATTCATTATTCTTGATATGCTATAAAATATAAACAGCATTAGATTTGCCAGTTTATTTTATTTGGTATGAACTGAAAAGGAGTATTAGTACGTATATCATCCGTGTGTATCATCCCGTTGGAAGATTTGAGCTCGGTTAAATCATATTTCTTTCATTGATTGGGTGGAGAAGCGGAAAGGGAATGTCAGCTTCAAACTACATCACCAGTGAAAAATCCTTTTCAAGACATGTAGTACAACTTGCAACACCATGTTTGAAAACTGTGAGCGCTACAATCTTCCATCAAGTAATCTTTCTGTTGTCAACCATCAGTTTATAGAGAGCAAATCCACCTCGATGACAGCCAGGCATCCTAGAAGTCATATTTTCTACTTCAACCTGAGATTAAAAATCAGAGTCATGCTTCAAAGACTAAAAGATTGGGGTTGTAAATATAGGCCTTAAATTTAGAAACAGTAGACTAGCTACTAAGAATAAAATATCAGGTATTTTTGTTCCAACAGATCCCATTATAAGCTAGAGGAAGAAATATCACTAGCATTTAGTGCTAAATATGTAGCTATGTCATTATCATCATTTTATCATGCTACAGCTGCAAGGGGCTTCGTCTGAAGTCTGAACCCACAATCATTTTGATGGGCCTTCTGTCGCACAAGAAAAAAAAAATAATGGCCATGCTCGTGTCTCTTACTAATGCCACTAACGAAATAGTGCAAATGTTCTTAAATGGAAACAGCCAAAAAATAAAGTGAAAATAATCACATAATTATTACTAAGAACGGGTTTCATGCCAACAAAATAAGAACAAGTTTTAGATTCACCATTGGAACAGCATATAGCTGAGTCGATTCATAGCCATCTTGTGCGCTAGAATAAAACTGCTGAACTTCCTTTGAATCAAGACTACATTTGATAAAGAAAAATGCAGCCGGTCTTACATTCAAATTCCTGCGAGATATACCAATGAACGTGGGGATGCTCTACATGACAAACAATCAAAATTAGATACTGAATCTTTTAATACCCATTCAACCCCATTTTAAAAGAAAAAGGAAACAGAAGATAAAGATTAGCAAAGCATCTGGAATTTTATCTGCAATCAATACACACAGAAAAGGTGTATCGAAAAACCCTAAACATAAAAGTCACAAAGTCTACCAAAGCTAGCATAGTGGGAGGCTTTGAAGTTCACTAACTTATAAAGGTAAAAGACATGCATATTGTGTTGTCACTGTCATCTTGAAGTAGGAATTATTAAACTTACAAGGGATGAGGCTGGCACTCCAATTTCTTCAACTACTTCACGAACTATGCTATCAAACATCTCCTGTGAAACCTTTATGTTAAGAGATTCTGCCAACTCCTTGACATATTGATGAGATGTTATATCAATTTCTTGAGGCTGTCAATCATTAGTAAAGAAAAGTCAATGTATAGCAAAGTCTACACAGAATTTTTATCAACAAGAAAAATTACGTGCTTCTATTCACTAATGAATCAATCATTTAATAGAAGACAATACAATACAGTAAAAAAGTGCGGAAAACAAGATAGTAAAGCAAAAGAGGAGCAGATATCATGACAAATAAATGCATCACACAGAAAAATCAAATCAAAGATTATTTTAGAACTAACTGTCCGTTCCAGATTTAATATAGAAAAAAATGTACTATAGCATCAAAAGGATTTAACACGTTCATTTCACCATTTAATACCTCAGGATGGCCTCCAGGGAAAACAAAATGTCCAGGAAATTCACCAACATTATTACTTCGTTGTAATACAAGTATTTTATTGTCTTTTGTTTCCACCACTGCACCATTTCCTAGTGGGCTGGAGGTGTGCTGACAAAGAACGGAATCATCTGGGGAGAAGGATGTAGGTAAAAGATTATGACAAATAAATCAATACCACTTCAGCAGCAAAGAAATGATGAAATAGGAGGAGGCAGAACCAGAAGGAACATAACAGCTTTGCAATTTTGGTCTATATAATTACATCCATCATTGTTTAATAATATTTAACCAAAGAGATGAAATCAAACAATCAATACATACAAACCTAGGATGAAACTACATGTCTGTACAGTGTTTGATAAAAGCTGAGTAAACTTTGTGACTTTGACCCTGAAAAGCCATGGATAAAAAACAAATATACAGAGAATCTGAACTATGACATAAGTACATTCTTTTCCTATGACATAAGTACATTCTTTTCCTACAACTAATCATAAATGGACTTCTCTATCTTCCATCTGTGACTAGTAAGTTATTTCTTAATGAACACAATCAACTCATGAAACAACTAATGTGTCATACATGATCTACCCTTTTCAATTTTTTCCAATTAAAATTGGAACACAACAAATGAAAAGAAGGCACAAACGAGGAAGGAGTTATGATTTAAATGAAGATTATGGTTCCTAAAGGAATGTTGTGGAAGAAGTTAGATATCTAATACTAACAGTTACGGAAATGGATAGTTATATGGTGATGACATGCTCAAGTTCCCAATAGATAATGATTAAAGGATCCAGTTATATGTCCTCTACTTGGGAATGTAGAGAAGAATGAGAATCATATTTTCAGACATAAAGGGAAACTCCACAGTACCCAAGCAGAAAAACAGAAGAGAGACGTCCTACTGCCGCCTTAGATTTTCGTGACTCAACTTTGATCCCCTTCCCCTTTCTTCCATCCTGATAATTTTATGGGAATCAAAGCAGATTCATTTTGAAAGTCAGGTGTCACATTGCCTAAGTTCAGGAGCTAACAGTGCAAGGTCACAGGGAACAACAAAATAACATTATTAGAGTTAACAGGGTGAAAAATTGTAATGATTTTACCTTCTGATGGGACCAGGAACCTTTCCCATAAAGGACTTAAATTTGTCCCCACAAAAGTCCTGAAGCAAGTTTAAAATAATTAGTAAATAGAGGGAACTAGAACTGATAGGAAAAAATACAGGAGAGAACAGCAGTAAGATTCAACTGTGTGCTTAAAGCATGCATTGCAGAGATATCCTCCAACAGTTTCAGACAAACAATAAAGATAACTAACTGTACAGCGTATAACATGTCAACGGCCACAATGTATACTATGAAATTTTCTCAGCCAAAATCACTGCTATATAGAAATTTAATTTGGAAAATGCACAAGTTTCCGACTAATTTACCAAATACGATAAACTATTCTCAACCTATCAACAATAAAGGCATATTACAGTCATGAATATGAACAATGACAAAGATACATTAAGATCATTAAAGTATCCTAATGAAAGCTGAAACTATAATTAATTTTTAGTTCAAGATTATAGAATCATTATAATCCCATCAAGATCACTACTCATGCTAATCAGAAAACATACATTTAAAAGAGGAGCGCTGAGGTCACACCTATAATCCGTCAAACCCAGGTGAAGGCATAAACGAGGTTCATGGTTGGATACATCTCCTGCGTCCAGAAGACAGCCTCCATACTGTGTTAATTGCAACAGAAAAAGATATAACGCACTATAAGGGATAGTCCTTGACAAATTCAGACGACAAGGCCTCCAACTTCACTCTAGCTACAATAACACCTCTCAGATGCATGACATTACATGAAAACAATAAAGGACTAAAATGAAGAGATTGAAATCATTGCATTATATCGTGGAATATACACATGGATTAATAAACATGCCATGACTCCATGGGCCACATTTTCCTTCATATAGCACCATCGATTATTAAACATTAAAGCTTCTATCGTTCAACTGATTCATACCATAACAGTATTAAGATACCAAATACTCTCAGAACACGGGGCCATCAACCAGGCAAATACACATTAACAAGAACCAAAAAAACCGTATAATACAACAGTAATTAGTTAATATCTTCAGAAGTTTATCAACGGAATCAAACTTAATATAATTATATGTTAATATCACTAGCACGTACGGTTATTAATTACCAATGTCAAGTGTTATGACTTCAATTTTGGTGAATTAATTTGAGAGAAGGTAAGAGTATCTCATTACCCTAAACTTCTTTCCATTGAACAGTGAATTGTTCTTCAGACTCCTCTGCTCCCATATCTACGCAACGGAAACAGAAGATAAGCGTAAGAGGAAACGATAGCACAAGAAATCGAACGTAAACGAATGCGATCCACCTCGGAAATTGTGTTCTCCAAGCTGACGTCGGAGTGGAGGATACGGTCGTAGGCGTCGCTGAAGTCCACGGAAATCTTCAAAAACAGAAAATGTTGGTTAGCGAGAGGCGTTTGAGGGGAATGGTGAGGGTTGAGAGCGTAATGAACCTGTGAAGGTGAAAGGCCAGAAGGAGTCGACACAAGAACCGTGAAGGAAGAAGGGTTCACGGTGGTGGCATCTTTCTCCATCGCAACGTCGACGATTACCTTTTACCGAATTTCGAACTCCGACCCCGGCTTCGTCAAGAGCTATAGGGCCTACTGAAAGGTAGCATTGAGTTCTAAGGGCCTTTAGTTCATGCACCCCCTCAATTTCTTCGCGCACCCCTCAAACTTTAAAATGACCGTTTTACCTTTTCGGGAAATTGATTTCTAAATTATATCATTTAGAAACTTTTCAGAAAAAACTTTTTAAAGTTTACAAAACAATATTTTTGAAACAAAAATTTCAGCATATAATTTTTGAAACATATAAAATATATTTTGAAATAATTTTTTTTATTTTTTTCGAACATATAAAATATCTTCTAAAATAAATATTTCAGAAAATTCATATATAAAATGTCATATGAGATGTGTTAAAAAAAAGCTTTCCAAAACGCACAAAATATATTTTGAAATTAATTATTTTATTTTTTATACTTTTTTTTTTTTTTTTTTGCATTTTCTCTCTTCTTCTTCGTGACGTCCTCATTTCCATCTTCTTCCTTTACAGCAGTGGTGTGGGTGGTGGTAATATGGTGGTGTGGTGTGGTACAACAGTGAAGGGTGTTGTTGAAGCAGTTTTAATTTGGGCTGCTATTGGGTTTAAGCTCAATTGCAAACCATTATAGTTATTACATAAAGCGATCCGAACCTGTTTCAGTTCTTGTTTTCCTTCACTTCACAAATTTAAAAAATGTTGGTGAGGCGTTTCTCAGTGAAATCGCCGTTGAATTGCGCTCTTCCCTCAACCGTATTTCCACACTGGTTTTCAAGCTCCAATGAAAACGATGACGTACAAAAAGTGTTCGGCATACTCAGCAGCACCTCCACGCCGGAGCAGCTGAAACAATCCCTGAAATCAAGCGGTGTTTTCCTCTCCAATGAATTGATCGATCAAGTTCTCAAGAGGGTTCGCTTCAGCCATGGGAACCCCTCCCAAACGCTTGAGTTTTTTCGTTACACCGGAAGAAGGAAAGGGTTTTACCACACTGCGTTTTCCCTCGACACCATGCTCTACATTCTTGGAAGAAGCCGCATGTTTGGTCACGTTTGGGACCTCTTAGTCGAATGCCGTCGAAAAGACCAAACGGCCATAACGGCTCGCACCGTTATGGTCGTGTTGGCCAGAATTGCCAAAGTGTGTTCAGTTCGACAAACGGTGGACTCGTTTAGAAAGTTCAGGAAGCTGGTGACTGAGTTTGATACTAATTGTTTCAATGCTCTGTTGAGAACGCTGTGTCAGGAGAAGAGCATGACTGATGCTAGAAACGTTTACCATAGTTTGAAGCATCAGTTTCGCCCTAATTTACAGACTTTTAACATTCTTCTTTCCGGGTGGAAGACCCCTGAGGATGCTGAGGGGTTCTTGAAGGAGATGAAGGAAATGGGGGTGACACCTGATGTTGTTACATACAATAGTTTGGTGGATGTTTACTGCAAGGGGAGGGAAATTGAGAAGGCGTATAAGGTGCTTGAGGAAATGCGTGAACAGGATTTGTCGCCGGATGTGATCACGTATACATGTATCATTGGTGGGTTAGGGTTGATTGGGCAGCCTGATAAAGCCAGAGATGTTTTGAAGGAGATGAAGGAGTATGGGTGTTACCCTGATGCTGCAGCCTACAATGCTGCCATCAGGAATTTCTGCATTGCAAAGAGGCTTGGTGATGCTTATGGTTTGGTGGAGGAGATGGTGAGCAAGGGTTTGAGTCCGAATGCAACTACTTACAATTTGTTCTTTAGGGTATTTTACTGGTCCAATGATTTGCATAACTCTTGGACCATGTACAATAGGATGATGGTTGAGGGGTGCCTTCCGAATACGCAGTCTTGTATGTTCTTGATAAGGTTGTTTAGAAAGTATGAGAAGGTGGATATGGCGCTGCAGTTATGGGGGAACATGGTGGAAAAGGGTTTTGGGTCGTATACCTTGGTTTCTGACGTGCTGTTTGACTTGCTTTGTGATATGGGGAAGTTGGAAGAAGCAGAGAAGTGCTTCTTGGAGATGATTGAAAAGGGGCAGAAACCGAGTAATGTGTCGTTTAGAAGAATTAAGGTTCTCATGGAACTAGCGAATAGACACGAGGCCCTTGAGAGCTTGACGCAGAAAATATCCATATTTGGGCGACCACTCCAATTGCATCAAAGTTCAATGAGCAAAACTGAGACACCGGATTCTCTCTTTACTAATAGTTAGAACTGATTGTGGCAAAATGAAAGGAAGATCAAGCGTCTTAAATCTGTTACAGAAGTGGTTGGAACATTCAATTATGCCTTTTAATATTAGTTTGAGACGTTTGCGATAAGAGAGTTGAACAGTTATTTACGTGGAGTCAGAATAGCAAAGATTGCACATTCTATGTACCGCAAGGTTATTGGCTCCATTGAGCGTTTTGAAAGACGCAGTTAGTGGCACTGAAAGGGGTGAACTGTGTGCATTGTTGACAAAGCAGAACCATGCTGGTGAAACGATGTTTTATGTTGTTACTGAATGTGGTTATGTTGATATGGTTAGGGAGATGATTCCATATTATGGATCTTGCTGGTTTTATGTTGTTTGGAATTAAGGCAAGGAATGGTTTTAATGCACTTCACACTGCTTCGAAACAAGGCGATTTAGTTATGCCTTCAATGACTTTCTATACTTGTTCTTTTGTGGCGTTTGATCTTCCGAGGGAATCTCAATTTGTTTGTTTTCAGATTCATTGATTTTTTTTCTAGCTCGTCCAGTAATCAATGCTCCAATAGTGTAGGTTTTGGATACCTTTAGTTCTATATTCTGGACTATTTAAACCAAACCAATTAATAATTCTTAGATGCACTGATTGTAAGATCGGGAAAACTTGGCATTTTAAAGTGATATTGTAACAGGGCTTATGTTTATTTAATAAGAAAAGTCATGTTTTTTAGAAGTGATGTGTAACTCGGTGAGAGCTCCTTCTTGAACTGGTGGTCTTGTGTTCAAAACCTGAAGTTTGTGGTGCATGTTATAATCAAATGAATCTTGATAGCTTAATGGTTGATATGATTGTATGACACTTAAGGTAAAGGGGTTTCAACCTATGATATGGACCTAGGAGGGTTTTAAGCTTTGTTTCGTCAGTTTTTTTTATGCATTAGATAAACTAGGTACTTTGAACCTAGACTAGAGTGTGCCGTGAGAGAGTTGGTGGCTGAGAAAAAAAGGGGCTGGTGTGTGGACTGTTTCTGTGCAAGGACAAAGGCTGGGAGAAGCTATAGGCTGGTTCTGTGAACTTGTCCGTGAGAGGAAGAAAAGCTAGGATAAACCAATGTAAGGGATGCTAAACTGGTCTTAATTCTGGAAAATTGAGAATGCTGGTTCTGAATTGGCTTTGCTGTTCCTGTTTTACTGCACCGGCTTGAACTGATGTATGTTCACATGTTGTTTGATTGGATGCATCATTCCCCTATTGTTGATGTCAAAATTGGGGTGATCACATGATAAATTAGTTGAACTTGAATTGCTGACGTGAACTGAGCATACACTGCTTGTAATACTATGAAATATATGGTTAGGCAATTATTTCTTGGAATGAAAACTGAGAGCAGGGGCAGCAGCCAGGTTTGTACCAAATCCCTAGTATAGTAGACTTCAATCTGTTTTCTGTGTAATAGAAATTGGCCTGAGATGTTTGGTTTAAGGAGTGATTTCACGTGCCTGCTGGTCCTAATTCTGGAAAGGTTTTGATTGACTGCCTTGATGCAGAATTAATGTTGGGTGCGTTAGGTTTGAGGGGTGCTTTAGTTGCTATATTGTAATATTGCTTGCAGTCAATACAGGATCAATTCACTGTTTTATTGAAATAAAATTCTAGTTTGATAAGTATATGAATCCAAATTAGTTGAATAGTCTAAGCATGCCTTGAAGTATGGTCGTGGCTTGTGTGTGTTAGTTTTGAGTTTATAATAATTGGAGGATAGTCTTAAATATTTTATTGAACGAAAACTGGCCTAGGTGCTTCTGTTTCCTCTTTGCCTAATTGGTTGAATGATAATTGCATGTGTTGAGGGCTGGAATGAAGGGAATTGAGGTGAGTATTGGGTGCAGGGCAGTAGCTGACCGTTGTCTGGTTGGAGGTGTTTTAGTGCAAGTTTGGGGTTTAGATAGAATCATGGACTGGTGAGGGGTTAGTGCAGACTTTCTCGGTCGCCCTAACCAAGGCCGAACAGTAACTGCCGTGGAGAGCCGAGCGGACATCACGGAGAATGTGGGGACCGGACGAAAGGAAAGAAACGTGAGGGATCTACCTTATGAGGAATATGAAAAACGAAGGAAAGAAGGAAGGTGCTTTAGATGCGGCGAGCGGTTCGGTCCTGCACACCGTTGTCCGGATAGGAGTTTGAGAGTCCTGATATATGCAGAGGATGAGGAGGAATTTCCACCACCCAAACCTCCAGACTTGAATTGATGAGGAGCCATGAGATCAAGCTCCCCAATCCAACCTTGGGGACAAGGTTGTTTTGCAGCGGGGTGTAATGTTAGGGTATAAGGTGGGAGGTAATGAGAAGGAGAAGAAAGGTAGGAGGGAAGTGAGGCCGAACGGTATTGACCGTAAAGGCCGAACGGTGGAAGACATGGAGAGGTTAGGCCGAACGGTGGAAGGCATGGAGAGGTTAGGTCGGACGGAGGACAACGGGGCCTGACCAGGCCGAACGGTGGGAAGCAGAGAGAATATTCAGTATAAGTTAATTAGAGTAAATAAATATAGTATAAGTTAATTATAGTAAATAAATATATATTCAAGGAAATATTCAATATAAGATATTTATAATTAAGGATATATGCTAGGATAATATACGGAGAGATATTTATATTAAATATAGGGATATTTATATTAAATATAGGGATATTTATATTAAATATTAAATATAAGGATATTTATATTAAATGTAGATATATTCTAGAGAAATATTTAATAAGAGATGGGCGGGAAATAATTAATATAAATAAAGTTTGAGTCTAGGGTTAAAGACATGCTTTTGATTATTGAGTTTTGTGACAGACATTATTGTCTTGTGAGGGAGGTTATGCTCTCAAAGTAATTGAAGGAGGTTATGCTCCCAATTATTGTTTACCCTTGTTTATTCAGATATTACCATCAATAAAAGAGATTCATTCATCCAATATCATTCGTTTATTGTTCTGTTACGTGTGAGAGAGTGTGAAAGGTTGTATTTGGCTAGTTTACGTACTCAGGTACGTAACAGTCTTAGTGCCAATCAGCTGTCAGGAACATGGTTACTGGCCTAACTGGGAAACTTTTAGTGGTAGTGAGTTAGGTACATGGTTTTGAGAGTGAACCGTGAGCTAGGTGGGGGAATTAAGGTCAGATGCAGCAGCTGGTTTAGGGGGTCTGCAGGAGAAAAACTGGTCCTCGTATTACCAATTTAGTCCTTTCTGTGAGTGGTCCAGTATTGGTTCTATAGCCTCCCAAAACTGTCTTAGTAGCAGTAGAATAGCTAGTGTGGTGAGCATTTCTGGTTTGTTCCCGCAGCTTCCATTATTGTCTAGAGTAGCACCAAAAGTGGTTCAAAGTGGTAAGTGTTTCAGGCTTGTTGTTGTAGTGTTAATTCTGGCCAGGTTAGCATTAAAGATGGTCCAATATAGTTAGTTTCCAGAGGTGAATTATGCAGTTTTGAAACTGTCCAGATTAGCTTTAGAATGGTTAATTATAGGGAGTAGTTCAGGGGCTGGTCTGCAGTGTTAAATTTAGTCAGTTTGGCACTTGTAGCAGTCCAATATGGTAAGCAGTATAGGTCTGTGGTTGCAGTGTTTAAAATTGTCCAGATTAGCATTATTATGGTTCGATTAAGTGAGCTTTCCAGTGCTGTTTCAACGTTTTTAGCTGTCCAGTTTAGCACCAAAATGTGGTCCAAGATGGTCATGTTCAAGGCCTGTTACTACAACGTTTTTTCTGTCCAGTTTAGGTTTAATTAGGATATATCTAGGAGGACTAGTGGTTTCTGACTTTGTGCGTGATGGCTACCAAGTGTTTGAATGAATCTGAACTGTTTGGGCAATTGCAGGTGCTGTTTTAGTTTATATTGGCTGTCAAATATTCTTTGAATAACTCCAAGCTGTCATGTGAGTTTTTGACGCTGATTTGTGTGCTCTAGGCAGCCGAATTGCTAGAGTGGACCGAGACATTCACAGTTTTTGTTACCCCTGTATTGTTCTTTGGATTTAATTTTAAGACAAAAATGAACTTGCTGAACAGTTTCCTTGTTTTAAATGTGTGCTTTGATTAGTTCGTTTATTTTAAATGTGTGCTGAACTATAGGCTGGTTTTGTCGAAGTCACGTGAAGACTTTGTATATATAAAACCAAAAGTTCAAGGCTATATACTCACTCCCTTTGTTCTTCCTTACACTACCTAGCATAGCCTCTTCAACCAAAACAAGGAAATGGAGGGAGATCAATATCAAAGGTTGTTGATCAAAGAGCGAACATCAACATCAGAAGAGGAATCATCACTGGTGAAGAGGGTGCGGAATGAGAGCAAGTTGATGTGGATAGTGGCAGCACCAGCCATATTCACTAGGTTCTCCACCTTCAGTATCAATGTTATAAGCCAGGCTTTTGTTGGTCATATTGGTTCAAGAGAACTCGCCACTTTTGCTCTTGTTTTCACTGTTCTCATAAGCTTTGTCAATGGTATTCTGGTACGTTTCTGGTCTGTCCCACTAATTATCTATTTTTCTGGATGAATATTTACTTCATAGCATAATCACTCTGTTGGTTTTGAATGAGAGAAAAAAAGTGTTAAAACGTTAACTAATTGTATATACTATTTATTGGGATTATACTCTTAAATGTTCTTTATAATTATCTGATGTTTATTATTAAGAACCATCTTTTATTTTTAGATAAATTCTAAGAAAAGATGGATTAGACAAAAGTTAAATAAAATTAAAACAATAAAATAGTATTAATTACCTCCTTTTTCTTCCTGTGTCAATAGATTTTTATTATATAATGATTCTAAGAAAGACAGACATCTGGCCTGTCTTGTGTTTCATGAATGAGTAAATTAAGGATTTCTTGACTTTTGTTTTTGGTTATGAATATTGGTTTTATAACAGTGAATTTAACCATTAGTGAGTCAGGAGTTGTAACGAAAACAAGTAGATCAATGATTGAAATGGAATTATAGTAAAAGTTGAAGCTGAAGACCTGCTATGACTATATTCAAATATTCACAACGTGTTTTCCGCAACAGTAGTATTGGGCAGATTATGTATGTGTATTTAGATATAGTTGTCAATAATAGCACCAAATAGCAGCACTTGGCAGAATCACGCTACAGAGTGGCTGAAGCATGCCTGATGAGTAGAGTGTCTTTTTCGTTTGTTATCATTATTGTTTGTATTTGGTGGTGTGCTTCTGAAAGAAGATGGAGAACTTAGCATCAACAGTTTTCAATGTTTAACTTGTGTATTCATTCTACCTAATATAGCTAAATCTACGTGTTCTAGTTAAATTGATCTGGTCTTATCAGATGCATTGAGCGTTGGTTTAGAATTTTGTTACTGCAGTATAATTGGGAAAAATTAGTATAGTTTAAACACTGGGAGACAGTTTATTACCATTCCTTGTGATTCATTTTAAGTAGGTGATGATCACAGTATCACGGTATTAATGATAAACTCACAGTGCTATTAATACCGTATCACAGTATGATATGCTTTCATCATGTTTCTTTTTTTATTTTATCTAAAGATTCCTAGAGGTTTTCAAACCCCCTTATTCGACACTAACAGTTTTCTGTTCAATACAAAACACAAACGAGCAAACATGAGTGTAATTCAGTTTAAAATTAGTACAGTTAAATTCAGTACAG